GGGTAATTAAACAATGTTTGTTGGCTTAATATAACTATTCTTTTAGTTTTTGGCTTCTTGGGTTGACACTAAGTAGGTTAGGTTATTTTTGTGACCATAGCGCACGAGTCGAGCGAGCGCAGCGAGCATGCCGGCCGGCGAAGTGCCAGAAAAAAAAATCGCTAACAGAAGATTGAGCAATGTCATCGGCATTGTATAATTATCCGTGTTAAAATTCGATGTATCAAAACACCTATCCTACGACATAAATAAGTTAAAGAAAGTTTTAGGCAAACGTGTACAAACTTTCAGTGTGAAAATTACGAAGTTTGTTTTCTCGTAATAATAAGCTCGATTGAATAATAAGCTTTGAGTCTATTTTTACGATCCTTCTTATTATAAGTTTCGAGAATAACACGTTGTTAATTAAACTTGAGTAACGTTTTAAATGTCAATGAGTGTCTACAATTTTTTTTGGACTTATTTTTTGTTGTGTACGGGAAGTTATTTTTCCTTAGGACTGTTTGTTTAGTTATAAAATATTTATAGAACTTACCGTTCTGGAATAAGATAAGATCGTTTCTTACCCAAAGCACAACGTGTAGGCGTGGCACTACTAGTGTAGTACCTTGTCGAAAGTTGTGCTTTGCATACTCTGGGGTCCTGATCTAATAGTTGGCTTTCCAAATATCGATATCGTCATCCTTTTCTTTATTTTAATGTGGCAAACAAGCGTATGGCCGTCCTGATGGTAAGCGGACACCATAGCACTGGTTGTCGCACCGTTGCCTCATCATCACCAGTCTATTAATGTCCCAATTGTTGGGGCACAAGCCTTCCCTATGGATGGAATAGGGAGATCGGACCATTACCCATCACGCAGGCCCAGTGCGTATTGGTGGGTGCTAACGACCGACTGCAGATGCAGCTGGGACCAACGAGAGATAGTAAATTTTTGGTCACCCATCCAATGTCACCAATCCAAATCTAAAATTTGTAATTGTGTTGCACGACATAGTTATATATTATTCTTTAAAATTATTTTTAAGTGGAGTCTTTGGAAATTATTCCTGTTTTTGTTGTTTATTTTCTTCTCTGTTCCTGGAAATAATGGTTAACAGTTTTTAATATAAATAATATAATAATGAGACAACGAGTCCTTAGAAACGAAACACAAATTAATAGTGGCTAAGTGTGGCTAAGTGATTTTTCTCGACGCCCACTTTCATCAGTATCCATTAGCTAACAACTTCCGCTGTATTTTTGTTATTCCATAATTGTGTTGTTAAGTTTTGTAGCTTTTATCCCTACTTAGTACTTACTTGTATTTTTTTTTTGTAAAACTTAATTGTAAAAAAGTTATTTATTTGCAGGTCCTGTTTCATTAGAAAGAGTGAAGTACATAAATGCCTAAGCATGACAAAAGTAAGGATGAAATTAAGGCATTTGCAAGGAAATACAAAACAAGACTGAAAAACCATCCTAACCTGTTGGCAGCTCAATTCAGACTTGCTGACCGTGTAAATCCTCTAAAACGGCGCAGAACCCTGGATCTCGGTGGCACCGTAAAAGCCAGCCTATGAATATGGAAGAACATCTTCCAATGGGGAATATCTTCTCACACATAATACTCATGCAACTCATCTGCTCAAAGTCGGAAGGACTGTACCCTTAGTACGAGTTTTACAATTAAGAAAACTATGATAGTTTTCTTGAGCTCGCATTTAGGTACGAGTGCTAAGGGTACTGATTTTATTGTTTTCGTTTCAATACAAATAAACAGCGTTTAAATTCTACCATTAAATCATTTGCGTCTTCTTAAATTTTAAGTATATTTGGTTACTTTTCACCAATATGGAAATAGAAACATAATTGACAATTACGAAAACTATGATAGTTTTCGTGAGCTCAAACTCGTACTAATGGTACTGATCGCATGATAGTTCATAAAAAAATAAGTTGCAGGCTTCTGTAGGTGGCATATGGTTAAATATTATACTTACCAACGGTCTCAATTAGCGATACCAATCTACTTTTTAATATTATTAAAATGGGTGCTTTTTAGGGTTCCGTAGTCCCGACAAGGAACCCGTATAGTTGCGTCATGTCCGTCCCCGGTTTTGCTTGGACACTATTAGCACTAGAGAGCTGTAATTTTGTGGAGATATGCATATCGATGTGGTCGGTGGCCCGTGTGAGGCAACACTAAGATGGCAGCAACCGGAAATCGGAAGTGAGATTTTATTTTACAGAATCGCCCTTCTGGCCTTTGTAAAAGTCAAGAAAGGAGAATTTACAATCAAAGAGCGGACGCATTGATAACCACAAATATTTCATTGATTTAATTTGCTTAATTTAATCAATTGCATTGATGTTTAAATATTCTAAACTATTTCAATCAATAACGGTCTCTTCTGTCGCTCTTAATAATTAAATATTGCTTTGCGATTGATTTAATTACTATCACTCAGACTAAGCCACACAACATTAATCAGAAGCCGATAATAACTGGTAATTAATTTGTTTGCTCATGAGAAATCGGCATTTTAAACATTTCGCTTAATAATTTCAAATACCGGACTAGTCGTTTTAGGGTTCCGTAGTTCTGACGAGGAACCCTTATAGTTTTGTCATGTCCGCCCGTCTGTTCGTCCCCGATCTTGCTTAAAGGCTGTTAGCATTAGAGAGCTGTAATTTTGTAATGATATGTTATATCAATCTCGCCGCCAAATGGAAAAATAAAATTTTGAAAAATTGTTTATTAGGGTTGCTTTGTAGACTTGGGGATGATTTTTTGTTTCATCGTCTACCCCATCGTGTGGGGTATCGTTGAATAGGTCCTTTAAAATGACATAGGGGTTTAAAATACTATTTTTCGATTTAGGGATCCGTTTGCGAAACATTGAACTTTAAAGTGCTATTTTTTGTTCGTGTAGGGCGTCCCCCCCTCTAAAAGCTATTAGCTTGAAAGCCTGGAAAATTTTAAAAAATAGTGCTTTCCATGAACTTTTAAGGAAAATTATAACGGTTAAGATAGATTTGTTAGTTTATGAGTAATAGTCGTTCAACTTTAGTTAAAGAAAATTTCTTACCTATTGAAAATACCTTTTAAGAAAACATTAATAGTGTCATAGATGAAGTTATTGTAGCGTTAAACCTTGCATTGCAACAAAATCTAAAAAAAATATTTCATACCACAATGAAATATCATTAGTTCCACAACAATTTCTGATTTGCGATATAGAAAATAAAGACTCCTGGAGTTTGAGCTTACGAAAACTATCATAGTTTTCGTAATTGTAAAACTCGTGCTAAGGGTACTGCTCAAATATATTGTGTTAACGACATGCAGCTACGGAACCCTACAATGCGCGTAGCACGACACGCACTTGGCCGGTTTTTAATTGTAGATGTTCACTGCTTAAGGTTAAAGAAACTTTATTTCTTCATGTAAAAATCATTACAGTTGCTTGCATGAGAAAACATTAGATGAAAAAGTATTTGTGTAGTCCAGTAGGTAGGGGGCAGATGCAGTCAGTTTTAATCTCTTTTTAATAATACTGAATGATTCTAACTCTTTTAAATAATCGGGTAAAATTAAATAACTGTGCTCGTTCAAATATATTTTTCGGTTTAGGTAGTATTGTCGCTTCTATTAAGCATTAAGAAAACAGTTGTTATGTTTTTTTTAACTATGTAAAAATGTTGGGGCAAATAAATAAATTTATTATTATTATTATTATAATGTTATGGTTTTCATACCGTAGCTGGTTCTCGATTTAGGGAGTACCAACTTGTTGTATCTACTTAAGGATGTATATGTTTTTTTATTATTTTCAAATATATGTCTTTAGAATTTCAAAATAAAGAATTCATGTATTCAGAAGTCTTGAAAATTAAAAAACATAGTTCTAACGGCTTAGAAAGCTTTTTAAAAAACTTATTAAACTAAAAACCGACTTTATAAAAAACAAAATCACTAAAAATACAATTTCTTTACTTGTTATGTCTCAAGTACATTTAACATCACATTAATCTTTGGTGGGAAAATGGGAACTCAGATAGATCAGATATGGACAGGAGTTAGTTTGTTTATCTACTAAAGTGCTCAAAAGATCTTCACCAAATTATCTAGGGAATCTCCAAAAGACTTTGTCAAACAAAAAAATCTCATCAAAATCGAACCTCGGAGATATGCTAAATATAAAATGTAAAATACTATGAACAAAAATATAAAAAAAACCTAAAAAAAAGTATATTGGCGAATTAAAATTCCCCCTTTTTGAAGCCGGTTCAAAGTATCTTCCACATCATTTTATTGCGAATAAAAAAAACGAATTTTTTAGTCGTAATTAACTACAACTGAAACACTTGTTTTAATGTTCGTTCTAATAATGAAATTAAAACTAAAAATAAAGTATTGTGCTTTAACAAAACTAACTTTATTAGTATAAAATATAAAAATCATTGTATAATCAAAAACTTCTGCGTCCACATTCGCCAGTTACCTACTAATAAATTATGTAACGTTACGTCTGCCGAAACTCACTTTGAATAATAAATTTGCCAGTCAATGTGCCACTTATAGAAGTACCGGTATTCGACATTAATACCCTATTTAAAATTAAACCTGTCCCAATGTACCATCCGATCGGGTCCCAATGACATCTTCCTTCTCATAATAACTTACAGTGAGTTATGAACCCACTATACCACTTTCACTCTCTATGTGATCGTACTTGTATGACATAACCGTATACAGATCTCTCCGTACAAAGTAGACAAGAGAGGAATATCCTTATAATACCGTAAAAGTAACTAACAAGCGTTGTTGATCGTTAAAAAGTAAATTCCCGTCTTTTCGAGCGCATTGTACGAAAGTTCACGAATGCCCGCGAACTTTTAACCAGTGATTAAAACAGGCAACCCTATACAAAGCAAAAAGTTTGCAATACAAATCGTGATAATAATTTTATTACAAGCTGACGTTTTTAAAAATAGAAATAAAAAAAAAAACTCACAGATGACAAAGGCTCCGGCTGATACTACTTGACCACAACACACAGAAAAGAAAAAAACTCGGCTCGTACAAAAAGGTTTGTTACGCGTTTGAATTTTCAAATGGGAGCGGTTGAGTTCGTTCACGGTTTGGTGTGCGACTGCGGAATCGTCGCGCGCGCAGGTGAATGTGAACGTCACTTACCAAGTTACCACTCTTGTTTCGCCGGTGTACCGCATTAGGGAGTGCACTCGGCGTTCTTTATTGCCAATGAACGGACGCCTCCTAGAATCGGCAGGGGAATATCTTGTACGCCGTGTGCGTTGAACTTTGCGGTCTATTTGTATGGCGATTGTCATGCCCGACGCGACGTGTCTCATTTTTATTCAGGCTCTTTGTATGGATGTTTGATGTACTTTGATATCCGTCTCGCTGGAATCCTTCGAATCGTGTAAAACTTGTGCGACCTACGAGGAAAATCGTGCAAATACTATTCAAAAGGTCCTGAATATTAAAATACCGCTCAAGTGCGACTTTGGTTCGTGGAGCTAGAGAGTATCTTACAAACTTATAAGTATAGATTTCAAGAGAATTTCTAATTGGATCAAATTTAATATTTATTTTATTTGCCTACGGTTTTTGAGGTTTCGTGTCCTTTTCGGAACTGCAGTGCTATTCCATATGGACAAACTCACCTCGAAATCCGCGGTGTGATTTAAATTTGGATAAAAAAAAACTAATCACGCTGGCAAATTCTGCGATGAAAAGTACATAAGTTTGTTATTACAGAATAGCATTGCAGAACTCTATTAAACTAAAACTCCAATGTTCTGTATGTCCAGCAGTCTTACCTGCAATTTATTGCTGAAAATATTTCTCCATTAGCTGTATGAGTTTAGATGTAATTTATTTATTATGCAACAAAAAATAATGCCTTTGCATCAATAACATTGGTAGAGGTTACATTCATAACCAACTTCACTCAATCAAAGGATATCAGTGCCCGCAGAGTCAACAAAGCTTTCACTACGGCATGTTTGACCCTTATGTCATGGCAAGAAGGCAGTTGTCCCACGGCCGGCGAAGAAGCGACTAACTATCGGCTTTTTTCTCGTTCAAGAAACGCACATTTAATATACATACCGTATAAACAAAAGAGATGCATATATTAATTATTAAGAGTTGATCGCTTCGCTGACATTGCGCGCGTGAACTCTCTCCACTAGCTTGTTGTTGAGCGATATGAGCTATCAAAGATAATACTCACTAAGCGATACTGCCCAGTGATGATGCTCGTTGGTTTCAAAACGCGAGCGTGTGCATTTTAGCTTAGCCCCTCTACCATAAGCACTGCCATATGATATATATCGCGTTTTTATCACGCTCAATTATAAGATTTGCGATTTGCGCAAGGTGGCTGGCAGTAGCTGGATGCGAGTAGCCCAAGATCGATCTGAGTGGTATGCATTTGGAGAGGCCTATGTCCAGCAGTGGACTAAGATAGGCTGTTGATGATGATGATGAATTGTAAGATTACTATGGAGTTTGACAGTTAGACGCGATAGAAAACGTGATAAAATGTAACTTGTGGTGCTCATGCTGCGGAGTCAGGATTGTAGTCCTGCGATAAAACTATCGGAATTACACACTCGCTTCCCGCTGCTCGCCAACTCGTTTCGAGTTACTAGCTCTACTCGCTACTCATTCATCGTCGGCGGTGAAACAAGTGCATCATTAGCATTATAGTTGGGCTTAAAAATTCGTTCGGAAAAAAATATGTAGTGACAGGTTGGCAGTATATAACAGTTTCCGAAGATGCCCTGGCCGAAGATAGATTTTTACTGATTGCGCGAAGGACTTACCAGAATTTTATGCAACGTCCTATCCTAAGTTAAGCTTTGCAAAGTAATGGTTTGATTTTTCTAATTCACTCCTGTGGCGTCATTTAATAAATACACGCACAAGGTTTTTTTCATTTTATCCCGTCTATTTGACCTGTTCACACCGGTCGTGGTCCAAGGCGACCCAATATTAATAGCAAATATTTTAATGCAACGCGAAAGGTTAAAAGTGTAATGTGACGTAATTTTTATATACTTAATATAAAAACCTGACACCTGGTGGTGAGCAACTAGAATTATTTATAGACGTTTTTTGTAGACTCTTGCGGTGCTTATTCATTTATTATAATATTTTATTTATCCTATCCTAATAATACCCTGAATGTGAAAGTTTATATTATTTTTACTCAGTTGTACGCAGAAACTGCTGAACGGATTTGGATGAAATTGGGCACTCTCTATTTCTGAACACCAGTTTTGACCCAATACACACCAAACTGTGACGTGAGTTATTAAGATTAAGGCGTGGACTATGCAAGTTAAGAGCCACCGGCACCGCCTGGCTTGTTACTTATTACTTGTTGTGGGCCCCCGTTTCCGCACGTAGACTCCATACTTGGTCCATTGTGCGTGCAGGGTTGATTGGGATAGCTAGCACAGCCGGCCCAGCTCCTTCCAGAAGTCGCAGTAGTCTCTTGGGACTCTCACAGGCTTCTAGGAGCGTCCTCAGCGTCACGAGGATTGATGCCCGGTGTTCTGCCACGCTTATGCATTCCATATTGCATTGCATAAATGTTATTTTCTAAATTTTACTTACTGTAAATCAAGATCTCCTGATCAAGGCGCGAAACTTTTTGCGCTATTGCTAAAAAGACAGCGGCGCTCTTTTACGCACAGTTGTGAATTGAAAAACAGACCTTTATTCACTCGATGAATTTACATGAAAGGAAGTTTCCGGCATTGTTATCTCAACTTTAGATTTTTTGACGTTTATGACTTTAGAATTAAAAGTGCAAATATCCTGAGATGTATGGGAGTGATGTATCTACATTTATATATGTTCAAAACTGTTGAAGACCAGTCAAGCTGCGTGAATGTATACGAATTAGCGTATATAACGTGTATATGAACCTTTGCTAAGCAAACAATTTACGTGCAAAACACAGCGACACAGCCAAGGTCGGCGGGTGACTGGACCAGTTCCACCCAGCAGATGGGTCAACAGCCAGCTGACAATAAAATCGAAATGTCATCGGCCCTTCGACATCTTGAAGACGACCGTGCTGTCCTCACAGATGCGCCTTTTTATTAACAAGAGACGGATGCAAGGAAAAAATGGTTGGCTACTAATTGCTTTGTTTAAATGCTATTGCAGTTTTACATCTAAGCTGGTATGGAAGTATAAATTGGCGCCACCTATCAGCTGTTCATTTCTCCATGCAATAGTATATACTTAACTTCATACTGGTTCTAAAGAAAAGTTTATTAGAAAAAAAACCACGCAGACCAGGCAGCGGACGGGACTCGAACCCGCACCCTTCGCAATCCCGGCGAATGCACTGACCATTATGCTATCACGGCCCTATTGGCCGCATCGAAATTTTCCTAGCCTTAAGCTGCAAGGCAGCGCCATCTCTTCGCATTGTAGGTAGGTAACCCACAATGTCAAATGAATACTTTTTCAAGTATTAAACATTTGAAAGAAGAAATAGCAATTATAGTTATGTTTTTATTTATTTTTAAGCATTTAACTGCTAGATGTTTAAATCTAAAGAATTCATACTAGTTGTTAAGGTACTGTACTTATGTACTTCTGGTAGTTTACTAGTTGCTTAGGTACTGTACTTATGTACTTATTGTAGAATGAATAAAATGAATAGAGTAACTAAGGTTCGCTTGCAGCAACTTTGCTAAATCTCAATTTAATTAAAACTGGTTATGGCTCAATCAATAATGTCGAATTGACGACATTGGCGTTTTGATATTTTTCTATGGGATATATCTACTCTTAGTTGAATCGAGATTTAGCAAATTTGTTGCAAGGCCTTAGTAAGAGAGATAAATATAAGGATAGTATAGCTACAACGATAGGATATTTAATATCGTTGTATAGCTACTACAAGTAGGTAAAGTTGGTTGATGTTGTAATAAATTTTAACATTAGAATCAGTGTTGCCATTTTATTATTCCGGACTATTATCGCACTTATTGAAACTAAAAAGCAAGGGAAATTACCATACTTTCTTTTGTTTATATCGCTCTGATTAATTTTATAGCTCTTCTTTTTTTATGAAAAGCGTACTAGGCCTTCAAAAACTTTAATTCTATTCCTTAAGTATCAATCAACCGAACAGGTTACCTTCAGACATCTGAAATCAGCCTGGTACAAAAAAGCAAACAGACAAAAGTCAAAATAAAATTCGTTAAAAAAAACAAAATTAACACATACGAAAATAAGTAAAAGAACAAAATAGTTAAATAAAAAAAATATAAAACAGCTAAAGCAAACACAGTATCAAACATATTATGTGATACTAACTTTATTCAAACAGTGACTTGGATTTTACTTGCCTTGAATACAAAAATGACCCGGACCATCCGAGGCGGGTTCTCACGCGTGGTTTTATCGGCCACCCGTACGGTTTTTTCGACAAGCAGGGTCTTTCAATATTCAATTTTGTTGAATGTACTACTTACGTTGCCTAAAAACGCTCGTTTCGGGCGCTTTTCGGTAACGTAAGTTTCGGGACCGGACCAATATCCTGATCGGACCATTTCTAAACAGGAAGCATCGACTATTCGACGCAAGTGATAGCGGCAGTAAATTCCTTGCCGGATTTAAATGGAGCGCATGTAATTGATTGCAACCTAAATTTCATTTACCTGGAAGATACTGAATACTTTTCGAGCGTAAATTTTTATTAAGTTTTAAGTCTACGTGGGTAAATATTCATCATAGTCGATGAAAATTTTGAACATGAAATTATAATCCATTGAAAACACACATTAATATAGAATAAAATAGTCGTGTTAAATGGTTGGCTGCTAATAAATAAGTGTTCCTAAATTATGTGTTAGAATTTTTGATATTTTTAAATGAACATTTATTAATCCTCAAAAGGAATATTAACACAAAATTTCGGATATCGTTGTAATCTAGCTAAATAATGGGCTCTTTCAATGCCAATTGTCTTCAGAATCCTTACTGTACTATGGAAAGACTACAAGGAACTTATTGTTTATTAATTAATTAATGCTCACACAATTCACCCGGCCGGCGGCTGTAGGGAAGCGGTAAATAATTCTACAGCCGTCGATAGATAGAACTAACCGCACCCC